ACACACATCATAGTAAAATTAATACCTTCTCAGCTTCGCATCGAAGCTAATAAATATTATCGGTAATTTAGATAAAATTTAAAGATATTTTTTTATTTGCTTATTACATTTATATGACGGGCATTAAGTCAGAAAGTTTGTATATGATCTCCCTCCTATTAAGATTCTTGTCTCTGTAAAAATTAAAAAAAATATATTTATACATTTATTTATGTATAGATCTTAACGGTTGCATTTATTAAATATTTAATATATTTTTATTATTTAAGGGTTTTTTTTTAGTAGGCCTACTACATAAAATTTTATGTAAATCGGTAAATCAAAACGCACTTTTTTTGTGAGGAAAAGGGTTGAAATGTGGCTCTTTTTCATAGTTAGGTTTTGTTGAGGATTGGTTTTAGGTACAAAGATATGAATGAGTCATTACTAATACTTTTTATACTGAACTATACTGTAAAATGAAATTGTATAATTGCACTATTGACATTAATAATTGTTAATATAAATATTTTACTTAACCATTCTCTATGTATCAACTTGAAAAAATGTAGTTTCTCTTAAAAATATTAATAGTAATAAATAATAATAAAATTTATAATAAATGATAAAAAAAAATATATATATATTTTATATTATTAATTTCTTTTAGAATTGTATATCATTTCTATAGTCTTTAATACTTGAAGTTACTACAAGATGACGCGTTATAACTATAATTACATATTTTTGTTTATTTATAAACGACTACTGTTTATTAGTGCGTTATTTTCCGAACATTACACTATTAAAGCATTTAATATTATCTCCACTCCGCGGTACAACTATTTATTTTCATTTTAATGGCAAAAATAAAATTTCAATACCAAACATGCAAGTTGAATAATGGTAGTACTACTTTTATAATCATTTTAGGATTCACAAAAAGTACTACACGAGTAAATGTGATTATCGCAACCAATAAAATATAAATTACATTTTTGATATTATTAGTTAATGTCGAGTATATTTCCAAAAAATACATGTCATATTAAGTTATTGATAGGTCATACAAGTAGCTCTCCAGAGTTGAATGGTGAGAGAGTTAGCCTATTGATGTGTATGACCCAAATACCAAACACTCGATGGCAGCAACTGTGGTGGTTTCAACGGTAGTACCATGTACTATAGCAGAAAAACTTTCACTTTTTGTCATACGATTGGTCCTGACCTTGTCCTCAACACTCGTCCGATGGCAGAAATTATACTTAAGCCTTGTGTCTAGTATTATAATCGTATCTTCTCGTTCACTTGTCTGGTAACATTACCGCAATTATTATGATCAACATTGAAACACCCGATACAATTTTTGTTGATCATTATTCATTAGATCTTAATAAATTAAAATTTTATCTTTTGAGTTAAAACACGTCGTAATAGTTTATCAAACCTTGAAATAACTTTTTTATTAAGCGGGGAAAACCCATTCCCACTTATTTTAAAGTGATAGCGAATGTTGCACGAATTTTGCGGAAAAAATATTTGAAATTGAAAATTTAGATGATTTAGGAAATAATACGATATTTTAAATATTACAAGAATCAACGTGTATACGATTGATCGAGAGTTATACTACATTTGTTGCGTATATTACTCGTATTTCAGCTGGAAAAAAATCGGGTGAAAGTACGAGTGTTTAAGATGAAAGGATAATTATGTTACACATAATGCTAGTTCACAGCTAGTCAAAACCAGTTCTGGGCTTCAATATTACTTTAAAAAAATATATGATAAGTTAAGTATTTACAAATGATATTTTTCGATATTATAACTGAATAATTGTAACCTTGAAGATTTTTAGTGTGAAAAAATAATAAGTCAATAAG